TGGCACTGGGGCAGACTGGGGAGCCTCACCAGTACCCCTACCAGCTGCATTTTCTCTATTTCAGTCAAAACTACACTGTCATCAAGAACTGGAGAAACTTTCATTACTGTTTCCTGTGACGTGCTTATTCTGCAGATAAGGGTAGATAAGACTGTGGGTTACAGGGCTGTTTGGCACCCACACTAAAATATCTGAAAAACTGGAAGCACGTCTAATCCTTTGGCTACTTGCTAAGGGCAGGTCACAAAGCCATCCCACCTCATTTTTAGAGATCTGCCATAACGTGTAAAACAGAAGCTTAATATTTCACAGTGGTCAGGTTCTTCTTTTAAAATCAAAGAATCATCTTTTAAAAACAAAGAATCAACATAAATGAAGCACTGGTTGAAATGGATCTCTGCAGGTCTCCAGTCTGATCTCCCGCTGAAAGCAGGACTTCTACCAACACTAGGTTGCTGTGTCAGCCATGGCTTTGCATAGCTGAGCCTTGAAAACCCCCAAGGACGAAGCTACCACCGTCTCTATTGCAGGGCTGCCCCAACCTCTTGGTGAAAAGGTCTTTCCTCATGTCCAACCTGAATCTCCCAAGCTGTAAACGTGGCTGTTGCTCCTTGTTATATCCTCTCCCATCACTCCATCACCTCTGTAACTCCCTTACAAATTTGATGTAGGCTGCTATTATATCCCCCTTCACCAAAGTGAGTAACCCCAGCTCATACTGCACCCGTGCTGTGATCTATAGCCAAAGAGAAAAGGCTGATCAATACAAAAGTGGATCCACAAATATTTCTCCATGTCAGGTTGGAAATTTCAGACTATTGTAACTGAGATTATTGAACTTTCACACTGCCATTGACTTTATGGCATAAACTGATCACAACTTCTTCATGATGTTTTATCATAGCTTCACTCCAGCTCAAGGCTTTCAAATGCATAAAAATACAAAATGTCAATCTGCAGGTTTCTGTCCTCAGAGAAAGCTGACAGTTTATGACAAAGATGGCTTTGCTCTACCATGAGCAAGATAGAAAATGTAGGAGAAGGAAGATAATCTGGATACACACCGTTTCAGTACACACACCCATGTTACACACACACACACACACACGCACCCATGCACACATGCATGCCTACGCTTGCTACGTGCTAATGGTTTTTATAATAACAGAGGCAGTAAACAGTGAAATGTCCTTCAATTTAGTCATGTGCGTTGGCTAATCCTGAAAGTTCTGTGACAGAAGTTGGTGTTGAGAAGGCATTAAGTGGGCTAGGAGTACGGAAATCAATCGAGGTTGGGTTCCCAAGCAAAAAAACCCAGGTGAACGATAGTATGAAGGTATTTGAGAAAGCCAGAGACAGGCTGAAACCGGCTTTGTTGACAGAACAAAGACAGCGAAGAGGTGAGGTAAGGCACGAAGACAGACCAATGTCCTCAGACCTCTGTAACTGAGAGGGAAAACAGAAAGACTTTATGGGATGCCGTATATTGCTGTGAGGTAGCTGGGACTGCCAGAGACTTCTTCTGAGTTTGCATTTCTATAGCAAAAAATTTGCATTGTTCTCTGCTGCTACAAGTTTAGTAAGAACACTGTGCTCATATGACTTATCTTCTGAGCACTTTACAATTCATGTTATGCTTTTTAATCCAGCTTTAAAACAAGTTAACTGGCATTAAACTATTCCAGAAAGGAACATTTTTAACAGAGATGCTTCTTGGTTTACAGTCATTATCTATTGTTTATATAGTGCTCAAAATTGGGCGGGGCATTTTGCAAGCCCCAGCTGAAAGAGATAAAAATCTAAGCAGACTGACTGTGCAAATGAACAATGAAGCGGGGAGGGAGTGGAGGGAAATGGAAAGAATATTGGATATTTCACCCGTCTTTCTCTCAAATGCCCGCCCAGTGCATTTGCTATTTTTTTACACTGACTTTTGCCTGTCTGCTTTCCCTTCTCATTCCAACTTTTGCTTTTCCATGTGTTTACCCAACCTCACCTACTTCCCCCTCCCCCCTCAGAGAGAAGCAAACAAGCACAGGCACAGCCTGGCCTCCTTCTATAAAAGCTAAGTCTTGTAGGTGAGTTATAAATTCTGCATCTTTCGCACATAGCTGGAGGGCCCAGTTTTTGCCTGATGTGAAGGAACACAACGCTTCTTTGGCTGGAAGAACAGGGGTTTACAGCCCATTCTCTCTGACCTGTCTCAATACCACTTCAAACTGCAAGGAGAACTTACCTAAACATCAATCACCAGACCTAGCGAGAGCCTCCACCACCAAAATCAATGCCATTTTGCTACCTGTGTACATCAGAGGATCTGACCGTGTTATTACAGCTTAGGAAAACTGGATTGCCAAAAGCACTCAAAACACTTTATTAATTTGGTAAACAAAAGCACTTTCTACAGCTTCATTAAGCAAGGCGGCTAGAGCAAGCTTCTAATTTTTAACTAGTGTTTTAGAAAGTTTTGCTTTTGAATGCTGAGGGAAGCAGGTAAATACCTTTGCTTACCTTCTACACGGGGATAAGATGGCCTCCAGGCTCCAGAGTTCTCCGCAGCCGGCTTCAGGCTTTCCAGCTCCTCTCTCCTGGAGCGTGGTGGTCTGAGGGAGGCACAGCAATGTTTTCGGGTGACGGACTCTATTAAACCAATAGCTGTTTCTCTCCGGAGAATGAGGAAATACCCCAAGTTATCCCTGGTTGGCCAGCGTGAGGTTGGCGTGCCACCCAGTGTTATTGATCATTTTAAGGCAGTGTTCCAGTGGTCAATGCCTCGGCCCCCCGGGACACACACATCGGCGCAGCGGAGACCTTTTTACTGCCGCAACCATTTCAGCCATGCACAGTTTGGTGGAAGAGGAAAGGCGGGAGATGGCAGGAGTGCAAGCATGTGAAGAGGAACAATGGGCGCGTGGCAGAAAATGTGGTTGAAGCACGAGGTGGTGGCACAGCAAACTATGGCCATCGGTGAGGAGTCATCTTCCACATAAAATTTGGCACTGGCTTTACTCCAAAGCGTGCTGCTGGGAGAGCTGGGTGAGGAGACTGGGGATGGGAAGGGGAGGAAAGAAAATTCTCGATAAGACAGGGGGAAGATAAGAGGGAGAAGGGCAGAAAGGCTGGAGAGAAGGGAGAGGTGTGACCAAGTGAGGAAACAAGGAAAGAAAAACACAATTCCAAGGAGGAGAGAGTGGGAATATGGAAGGGAAACTGAGGATTTGCTTTGGCAAAGGAGAAGAGAAACTTAGAAGAGACACTAGCGATGGGCCAAGAAATGAAAAACACAGCAAAGGGTATGAAGAAATGTCAAAATTAAACTGGGAGAAGACTCATACTGAGGAAAGAGGGATGTAGCAGTTTTCTTTTGTAGAAAATGTGAGAGTAATAACTGTTTAAATATGTTGAAACACTAAAACATATAAATATGTAAGTTACTCTGTAGGTTAGATTTGGCCCAAATCATGCTGGGAATATGCTCAGCTCTCTCTTTGACTGAAAACATGTCCCCTCTGGCAGGCACCTGCCGTTGCCTTGTTCTCAACATCCAGATGGAAGGGTGACTTTATCACAAAAACAGCAACGAAAGGGGCATGTGAGTGAAAGCAAAGATGCAAAATATTCCACTGTCTACCCCGCCACCTCTCATCTTCATTCTTATTTTTGGAGAAGATTTCTCACTATGAAAGATTGTTGTGTAGGGTGGAATTCATCTCACATGACTTTAGATGTCCATGAGGTAGATGTCACCCTAGACTGCCTTTATTCCTAGTGAGAGAAACAGGAGAAAATCACCAGACCTATTGTAGGAGCTGCTGTAGGGTTATAATAAATCATTAATGGTGAAAGAATCTCAACACTTGTTCAGACCTAAATGCTGACTTCTGTGGTCAGATGAATCCCATCCATGAGGACTACCAGTGTGGCAGGGTGGCTGCAAAAGCACAGGGGCAAAGCCTGCGACTTCGGTCCCCAGGTTGCATATTTAATACCACCAGCATCAAAGGATGCAGGGAAGGTTGTCTTCATCATTGACTCACAGCTAGTGAAAATCTTAAAAAAGCCCATAGAGTAGTCTCAGGCAAATAAACTTCATTACAGTGCAAATGGCAAAAAAGGAGGGAAACTGAGCTGAACCCAATGCCCCAAACTTCAGCTGACATCAGTGGCAACAGCATTTCACCACGTTTTAGGTGGTGGTGCTTCAACCCCAAGGAAAAGGAACAAAGTAAGTCTCAGACAAACTTCAGACAGGGCAAAGGCACAAGGTCTAATGGCATTTAAAGCATTTAAAGAACTAAATTTAGAACAACTTGAAGACTATCAGCAGTTTGCACTGACAGCTGGGGCACGTGGGGGGGAATTGCCAGCTTACGCAGAGAGTTAAGAAGCAAATAAGGAAACTTCGTAATGATACTTAAGATGAACCTCCGCCTAAGTCTCATATCCTGGTTGGTTGG